AAAATAAGAACAGAAAGCACTCTTTCCATCTCTCCTACTTATTTACCTTTCTCTACCCTGACTAAACACCTTAAGTGGTCAAGGCCAGCATGCAAAAGCCAGCTTCTAAATAAAATTTAAACTCAGCCACTTTCAAAGACTCTGCATAGCTCACTGTCCTCTAGACCAAAAAACAGAATTGAGGCAGAAAGATGCTGGACTTGTTGTCAGAAGACACCTGCCTATGTCCAAGTTGAATGCTCACTTTGCCTTATTTCCCTACCCTCTGCCTTGTCTATGGCTTATTACACTCAGTAACTACAAGAAGTGAAATGAGCTAACCTCCGTGAAAGGTCCTGCAAATGATAGTAAGTTATAGAAATGTGGTGGTCATTAATGACTGCAACTGGGAATTATACCTTGTTGTGTCTTGTACTAATCAATCTTGAGTCTCCAGATCTGCTGTAAGTTCAAGCTTGGAGACCACATCTCAGATTCTAGCTGCCCTCAGTGCCTAAAGCACTAAGCATGGCACTCACACAGTTAAGTTCATGTGAATTGGTTATTGGTTGGCTTTTTTTTTTTATGGATTTGTCTCAGGGGGAAAGTGTTCCATTGTTTTTCTGCATTTCTCATATTGCTAAACACGTTTTCTAGAAATAATCATAATGTTTACCCAGCCCATAATCTGTAGGTTCTTTCTTTCTTTCTTTCTTTCTTTCTTTCTTTCTTTCTAACCAGCTGGTCAGAATTCCATTGGAAAGCAGACTGTTTTGGCAAAGGCAAAGAAAACAATTTTCTAATACAGTCATCAAGGTTCCTTTTAAGGCTGAAACACAGAACCTGAAAGTCACTTGATAACTGCAGGCCATGTTTACCTGTCACTGTTCAATAAACTTAGTCTGTGATCCTACTAAGCAAATAGCACAAGGTGGGATGGATAGGACTCAGCAAGGAGAGTTTTCTGGTAGCTCTATGGGCAGATTGCCAGGGGACAAGGGATAGAGTCCCAGCTTCACATTTTTTAGCTCATTGGCCTTGCACAAGTTACACAGTTTGTCTCTCATTCCTTATCTAAAATAGGATAATAATAAAAATCCACTTCCTGTGATTATCATCAGGATGAAATGAGTTAATAGACATAAAAGCCTTTAGCTTTTAGTGCCATGTACAAGGTAACAATAAACATTAGAAATCTACATCCTTGTAGCCAAACAGACAAGGCCCAGAGAAGCAAAGTGACCTATATTAAGGAGCCATAAAGAAGTACAAATCCCTGGGAACTGTAATTCATGCCTGTAATCCTAGTTACTTGGGAGACTGGGATTGGGAAGATTGCAGTTTGAGGCAAACCCAGGAAAAAAGCTAGTGAGACACCATCTCAACCAATAGGTGGGTGAACCTGTCAGTCTAAGTTAAGTAGGAGGCTGAGATCAGGAGGATCATAGTTCCAGGCCAGTCTGGGAAAAAGTGTAAGGCCTCCATCTCAACAGAAAAAAGCTGGGTGTGGTGGTACCCTTCTGTCATCCCAGTGATTGTGAGAAGTGCAAATAGGATGGCAGTCCAGGTCAGCCTGAGGAAAAAGTGAAACCCTATCTCCAAAACCTAATCAGAGTAAAAAGAGCTGAGGGTCTCAACTGGTAGAGCACCTGGCAAGCACAAAGCCTTGAATTCAAACCCCAGTACAGAAAAAAAAAAAAAAAAGGTACAAATCAGTGCTGGAACTCAGGTCTCCAGGTCTTGGTCTGATTTCTTCCTGTGGATATTTTACACCAGTGACACCCTGGAAGATCCACCATCCTGGCATCTGATCCACAGGGATAAGAAATAAATAAATAACTTCCTCTTTGCCCTCTCTGCTTGTACCTACCCTGAATAGCTGTCCCTCCCTAGGTGAGATAGGTCTACCTTTCCTATTGATCTCCATCAGACTCAGAATTTACTGCAGGCTCCCACATCAATACTGCAGTGAGGAATTCATGCCTCACTTCATGGAGTTGTAAAGATTAAATGAGATAATACCAGGAAAAGCACTTAACAGAGTATCTGCCTAGTACACAACCAACAAAAATGATCTATTTTTAAAGGAGGTAGAGGAAGAAAAGCCTTCTTTCTCAAAGCTCATACACATTCCAACTCCAAGTGCCAAACTTGGGCAGATTGAGATCTGTAGAAAAACAGAGGGATGGAGTGACTGTGAAGGATTACAGCGAAAGACAGAAGTCATCACATACAGGAGGGGGCTGGAGGCCTCATCCTGTCCTTGCAAGAAGGAAGAGGAAGGGGAGGAGGAGGAGGAGGAAGAAGTGGCACCTTAGTGGGGGCTTAGGTGGCAAACCTAAATTTCAGTGTACTGGATTTTTAATATTTTAATATTTCTGAACAAAGCAAAGACTGCTTCTGACCTCCCAACTTGCTCTCCTCTGCAAACACATAGCTTGGCAGTTTTCATCAATGACTTTAGTTAGAAAATAGTGGCTTAGATACTAGATTCAGTTAAAACAGATTCCACCAATCTCCTCAGAACATCAAAACAGACTTTGGACTCAGAGTTCTTAAACATTTCAGAATTACCTTCTCCTTCCTTTCCCAGCAAGGACAATTTCTAGTCCTGAAATGACAAAATGAATAGTTGAACCTTGAACTGGAGAAGGAAGGAATCTGGTGAGAAAGAAAAAAGAGTAGGACTGGAGACAGAAATTGTCATCGCTGTCCATCCCCAGAGCACAGCCCTGGGCTGGCCTTCGATGAGCTAGTTTTGAATACACACTTAATAAACCTGCCTCATCAAGGAGTTCACTACTCTGGTAAGGAGTTCAAACACAGAACCACTGCCGCTGTCTTTTAGCTCTGGTGAAACAAAGCCATGGGGCCCATACCTTAGCAAGGGGGCAGATGCTCTGGTAAATTCTCGCTTCCTGCTTACCTAGGCAGATATTTGCAAGTAGTCTAAGAAGGGGACCGAATAGGAGTAACATACAGACTTCTAAATGAGTGGTTATGCAAATCGCTTAGGCAAATATATGAAAACGAACAGGAAGGTTTCTGATCTGTTTTTCCTCACCTGCCTCATTCTCTTTAGACAGTAAAGTGAAAGATAAAAACCAACAGCTTGATAAAACCACAAATCTCCTCCTCGGCAGGAAGTCCCCTTCCTGGCTCTTAACGCCCTGACTCCAAATCAAGGCCCCTGGGGTCATTCTAGCGGGTGGAGGTAGTTCTCTGCAGTCCTCTGCCCTTGACAAGGGCCGCTTGAATTACGGGCTCGGTCTCCCCAGGCCAGGGAGAGCGGGGAGGGGCGGAGACAAGGATGCAAAAGGTGCTCCTTTCCCAAATCAGACTAGAAGGGAGAGGTGCAGGGGGACGCGTTGGGGGTGGGGGGGACGTGGGGAGGCGGGGAGAGACAAGCTCTGCAATGCGAAAGGCTTCCAGCACAGCTCGCCGCGGCCCCTGCCGGCGAGTATGGCTTGCTCGCCAGTCCAGGAGCCCCCGGAGGTCAGACAGTCACCTAGAGGGACACGGGAAAAAGAAGTTCCTCATCCCACGGCACCCACTCGCACCCCTTCCACAGACCCAAACCCGGAGAGTCTGAGGGCTCCTCGCCGGCCCTGCAAGCCCCAGCCGTCCCCACCCAGGGCGCGCCTGCTGTCCCTGGGCACAGCGCTGCACCAGGACAAGGGCCCTGGATGCGCTCTTCCCAGCAACTGTGGCGGGGCGTCTTACACCGCTGCAGGGCAAAGGGGAGGAGAGAAATGACAGAGAAGAAGGCGGAGCAGGCGGTCAGGGAAGCACTTACATTTGTCAGGAAAGCGCCTCCTCTCGCGAAAGGGAAGGAAGGGCTTCCCATCTAAGGAAACGCCCCGGGGATGCCCCTACGCGAGGTGCCGCCTTTCCCCTGCTCATCCACTCTCCCGCGCCTCATCCATTCTCCCGCCTCCACTCGCTCCTCCACTCCACCTCTTGCCAAAAAAGCTGATCCCAGATACCTTCCCCGCGGCTTTCAAAAGGACCCAACACGGTTTGGGCTGTCCGTAGCTCGCGCAACAGGCGGCGTCTTGGGGCTCCAGCGACGACGCACTCCGGGGACTGGAGGTGGAGGGCGAAAGAAGCCAGGCGCCCAAAAGGATGCAAAGTCCCTTGCGGGCATACACCTGTGAGGTTGTGCACCCGCGATCTGAACCACCCGGGGCTGGAGCAGCAAAAGGTGGGGGAAGATGCAATAAAGTTGAGGGGTCTCACGGAGAAGTCTCCGGAGCGCACAGGGAGGTGGGATGCAAGCAGGTACCTGCTGGAGTCCGGGAGCATCTGGCTCGCTCCGCTCTGCGACGCCAGCCACCCGCGTTGCAGGGATCAGGCCTCGCGGCGCGGCCCCGCGCCCGCCGCCTTAGCGGCGAGGAGAGCGGGTGGCCCTCACGGTCAGTTTGTCCGTCTGTCCCGCCGGGCTGGAGCGCTGCGCCTAGGAAAGGCGGGCGGGGCCGGGCGGGGCCCTCCGCTCAGTCACCGCCCCATTGGTCTGGGCTCCGCCTGCTTGCTGGCGTCCAGCCCTTAGCATGGACTCCCCACCCCAGGGCATGGCTCACCCGCACGGGCGGCTGCGGACTGCTGGGGTCAGACCGCGAGACCTGCGGATGGTGGAACTGAGACACAGCGGTGCTGGACGCGCACCCACGCTCAAACCCAAATGCAGCGTCACCCCTGAGCTGCGGGCCCTGTCCCGGTGGAAGCAAGCACACCTCCCTCCTACACGCCGCCGGGGCTGAAAGCACTACGGCTGAGGGGAAGAAAGAGGACCACCCCAGCGGCTCAGGTGGCACCGGCAAACGCGTCTCCAAAGTCGCAGCCCAAGGAACACTTTGCAAATTTGCCGGGATTTTCTTGGGAAGTCACGAAGCCCCAACTTGTTTTAAAACAAAGTGCGAAGGAGGAAACAGCCCCAGTTCTGCCAATGTTTGCCTCCGCCCGCTGCCTGAAGACTCATGCACAGTGCAGAACATCATGGTTTGTTCCATTCCTCGACTTACCAAGTCAGAAGAGATGACTGGACATATGCACCAAGCATATGCATCTCATATTTGGAAGGGAAAGGAATCGGGCTCCCTTTCCGAAGGACGAATAGAAGAGGGAGTCACAGGGAGATGCCTGCAGCCCAGGTTGCAGAACAAGCAAGGACCTCCGCAAGGGCAGCGAGCCAGCCATCGCTGGCCTCTCTGCACTGAGCAACAACACTCAACCAACAGCCCGGAAGAGGAATGGGATGCTTGTAGACCCACCCCCGCACTCTCCCTCCCGCCCCCAAACTGCAGATTTTTAAGTTGTGCAGACATGCAATAATTCTTCAGAGCCAGCTGCTCCAAGCTGTAGGCGCCCAGCGTTCCCTAGGTTCCCAACCAACATCACACACTGTGCCAGCTGCCCCCAACCCAGCTCCCCAACCAGCACCTGCTGACCAGACAAGTGTAGCAAGGCCATACATATTTAAGTGTGGGGACAAAGGGATGTACAGAAAAGATAAAAGGCACTTTTCTGTCCTGGTGGAAGTACCCTATAGTATCTGTGGGATTTCTAATTGTTCTTTGTTCTATCGAAACCCACGTTGGAAGTCGGGGGGAAACGGGCAATGCCTACATGTATTCTAGAATTCAAAGATGAGGTGAAACCTGTACCTTAAAGGGAAGTTTGACCCAGGGGAGAGGGCTGCAACCAAAGCATAAGGCGGTCTTCCCTCGGAAGCCTGGGGACCACTGAACTCCAGCATTTTCATTTGGCTCCTGGAAGGCAAGGTCAGGTTACGAGTGGTCATACAGCATATGTTTTGGACCCTGTGTCAGTAATATCTTGGTCCTTTGGTCCTCCCAAGCCTGCCCCCTCTCCAATGAAAGAGAATCCAAAGCACTGCTTTTTGCAAGGAGCTGAAGAATGTACTTTTCATATAGAACTCATCATCTTTAACCTAAGATCTAAATTTATTCCAAAAGTGTTTTTTATCAGCATCTTAGAAGAATGCTCCCAGATCTCTCCCAGCAGTTAGCTACTTAATCATTTCAAAATCACTAAGTTTATCCCAAAAGCCCACACCTGTTTGCATGAGGATAGATGATGAGAATCTCAGCCCTGCAGAAGGCATCTGCAGTGCAGATACCTCAGCAGTGAGTCCCTCTCACAGGGTATGGGTGGCACAGTGTGAACAGGAGGGAAAGCACACACACATACAGGCAATCAGGAAAGGTCTCTGGGGTATCTGGGTGAGCCTGGCACAGAGAGTGAGCCTCACAGTGGGCATGTTGTGTGTAGGGCACAGATCAGAAGAGCTGTGATGTTCATTCCTGTGAACCCTGTGGGGAGCCACCTAGTCTTTCAGTTCTGGTTTGTCACCTACAAGGAACGCTCCTCCCTCACAGGGTGATCAGGTGAAGCAAAAGAAATAAACAGGAATGCATGTCTACTAGCTAAATGTTTAATACTGCATGTTGACCTCAGCTAGACCAGTCAAAGTGGTGAATTCACTCCTACACACACACACACACACACACACACACACACACACACTTATATGTGTATATCTACCTCCCCTGACCTCAGTTACCTCTGTACTAGGGTACGCCCTAACCCAGTTGCCTCTTCCCCCACACAAATACACACCATCTTTTACCCCATCAAGATATCTTCCTGCAGCATAATATGACATCTCCTCCCTTCTGAACCTATCACACCCATAGGAAAGCAAGTAGGTGAGTCACGCATTATCCTGTAAAGGGCAAATCACCAGATGACAATAGTGTTCAGTCCTTCCTGGGCTTAAGAAGGCTCTCAAGAGTCAATGGAAATATCTTAAGCCCATTCAGGATGTGTTCAGTATATCTTCCAGGTCTCCATGTCTCCCTTGTTCTGGACACTGCAACCTCCAGCTTGTATCGCTCTCTCTTTCCCTCCTAAAATATATTCACTCCCTTCCCTCTTCCCACCCAAATGCTCCCCAAAGACCAAATAATATAAAACTAGCTTGACACTACCCCTGAAGGCAAGGGAGGAACTGATTTGTCTCTTACATTGGGACATGTCTACAGGTAAAATGAAGATGTCCTCATGTCCAGCAAGAGGTTGGAGAGTGAGAAGGCATTAGTAATAGTGGTCAACATTTGTTTGGTGCCTCTTACTCTCCCCCTTCTCCTCTGTACCCCAAATGTCTCTTCAGCTAATCTGAGCACATGAAAACACCTGCAACTCCCCAAGCCCACCAGACTTTTTCAAGTCTACTGCATTCACATTGGAGCTCCCTGTGCTCAGAGTACCATTCCCAACCAAGTCATTCTTTCCTCAACAAATAATTAACCCAGTTGATAATTAGGACCCTCTGGGAAGTCCCCCCTCCCATTGTGGGTTATGTGTCTCCTTTCCATACTGCCTCAGCCCTTCTGCTTCCCCCTTTCATAGAGTCACCACATGGGATTTTAACTGCATGTCTTCTACTAGTTAACGAGCTCCTCAAAAACTACATTTTCAGGACCTTCTGTAAGATCTGTATGTTTGTGTACTGAGTGACTAGTCCTTAGGTTAAGATCCACTCAGTTTCAGCAGCTCCTGGTAGAGACTTAAATCCTTTGTTTCTATGCCAGGAAAAAGAAAACATATTAACCACTATATTTCTCTCTTTGCTTGGATGCCAAGAAATTCAGAACTAAATTTATATACATTTTTTGTGGTATTGGGGCTTAAAGTCAGGGCCTTATGCTTGCTAGGCAGGCACTCTACCACTTGAGCCACTCTACCAGCCCCTGAAATTTATTTCTTAATTAGAATGCTCTTATTCTAGATTATTTCAACAATGATCATGCGTCTTTCATTAAAATATGGTTTTCTTATTTTACTGCCCTTTAGTATTATTTTTTATTAAACATACCTTAAAGATTTACAGTCCTAAAATCCAAAGACTTCAGTTCCAATTTACCTCTGTCCCTGGTGAGCTCAGGGGTAATTCCTCCCCAGCCGTCCATCTGGGTTTGACATATGATCTCTAAGATCCTTGCCAGCGCTAAAAGCTTTATATTTCTGTAGATAAAGGGAGACAGCTTATAAATTATTTTAAAAAGAACATGTGATAGAGATGGCCTAAGTATCCAGGCACAAAGGAGCACTCTCAAGTACTTGGAGATGTCTTCCAAGGACCCTCACCAATCACCCACAGTGAGTCCCACAGAGCACCTGCAGCTAGTGAAAAGGCTTTGGGCAAGCATACTGCACTCCTTGGTGAATACTCACCACACAGGTTAGTCTAATGCCCCCAAGGGATGGCCTTACAGACTTCAGAATCTGGCCACAACTTGACTTCTCACCACATTTCAAGCTCTTCACACTTTTCTCTCTGCCTTACTCATCCCCACTTCCACCCCATCCCCCAACAGCCAGCAACTGCCTTACATTAATAGAACTGACCCATCTCTCCACCCTGATCACTGCATGCTGTCTGAGCCTTACCCATGCCTGTGCCCTGCTCCTTAAGGCTTCACTTCACCACTTAGAAACTACTACTTCACCTCGAATATCAAGCCTGATGTTACCCATACTGTGAGGCTCTCTCTCACTCACTGTTATGATTTGAATATGAAATATAACTTAAAGGCTCAAGTGCCAATGCTTTGTACCAGCTGGTGGCACTATTTTGGGGGTGGTGGAAACTTTAGAGATGGATCCTAGCTGGAGAAGGTACGTCACTTGGACTGTGTCTTTGGATACCTGGTCCACAGTCCATTCCTTTCTCTTTATTTCACGTTCACCATGAGCCTCCTCAACATGAGTGTATTGAGATCTAGGCTGCCACCACAATGTTCTTTCTTTCTGACCACAAACTCAGAATCAATGGAGCCAAGGACTATGAACTGAAACCTCTCAAACAATGAGATAAAATAAAAATTTCCCCTCTTAAGTTGTTTATGTCAAATATTTTGTGGCAGTAATAAGAAAAGTAATACAAAAAATTGGTGCCAGAGGAGGAGGTCATTGCTAAATCTGACTGTATGGTTTTAAAATATTTGGAAATTACTTGTAGGAGAAATTTGGAAGTATGAGCTAGAGAAGCCTAGAATGCCATAAGCAGAACTTCTTAATGGACAATTATAGTGGGAGCTCAGAATGCCAGTAGAAATGCAAACAGTAAAGACTGTGGTAGTGAGGTTTCAGATAGAAACAAGGACTCTATTGGGAATAAGACTAGAGACCATTCTGTTATATTCTGGCAAAGAACTTGTTTACATTTTGTCTGTGTCCTGAGACTTTGTGGTAGGCTGAGTTTAAAGGTGACAGACTGGTCTAACAGGAAATTTCAAGGCAAGCTAGTGTTCAAGCTATCGCATGCATTTTACTATCTGTTTTTATCCAGGTTTACAATGAAAACTGGGAGTAAAAAGTAGAACAGTAGCACTTGAAAACTTGCAATTTGGTCAGAAAAGCCTGTAAGGTTAGGACAAGAAAGTCCTGCTTTCTGAAAAGATTAGCACCATTTAAAAAAGCCAAGTGCTAGTGTCTCATGCCTGTAATCCTAGTCACATTGGAGGCTGAGGTTGGTTCGAGACCAGCCTGGGCAAAAAGTTCATGAGACTGCATCTCAATCAATAGTTGGGTGCAACAGAGCACTTCTGTTATCCCAAGTTATGTGCAAGGCTAAGATCAAGGAAGATCATGGTTCCAGGTCAGCCTGGGCAAAAATGTTTGCCAGACCCCATCTCAGTGGGACTTGGCGGGCCTGGTGGTGAGTGCCTGTCATCCCAGGGACAGTGACAATGGAAAACTTAAAATAGGAGGATTGAGGTGGCCTGAGCAAAAAAGTGATACCTTATCTCCAAAGTAAACAGAAAAAAAAGGGTTATAGGCATGGCTCAAGCAGTAGACCACCTGCCTAACAAGCATAAAGCCCTTAATTCAAACCCTAGTACAACCAAAAATAAATAAATAAATAAAAAGAAGACACTAGGACAATAGGAAAGATGCCTTGAGAACATCTCAGGAATTGGCTGGCTCTGCCCATCAGTCTCAAGGATATGAAAGAGAAAAGTTATTTGAAAGAATTCCCCTTGAAAAGAGCATTTCAAGGGTATCCTGCACATGGAGGACCACCTAGAAAATCATTTCCCCAGAATTTATTTCACCATGCTTAGCTCCCCAGGCACTCAGAGGCCAATGCAATCATGGTCCAAGGTGGCCCAGCTTACTGCTCAGGCTGG